ACACAGTTACTGCTGCTGCCTAGAGATCCGGAAGGGCAGTGTGAAGCTCCTCCTGAACCCATGGCAGACACCCTGTCCCATACACCTTTTACTGCAGTAGCATCAGCTCAGCTCTCTGGACATTCATCAGCTCCACAGCAGCCTGTGGCTCCAGAAGACTATCTGCTGCGCTGCTGCCAGAACATGAGGAGGAATTTCCATGTGTTGTCTTTTACCATTACAGGGGATAGTGTTTACGTGAAAACAGAGAATTGTATCCTCAGCTGTTGAAAACTACCCTTGGTCCATTCAATCCAAATGAGCTGTGATATTTTACATCAACTGATAAACTAACCTGCATATTTCTTCATTTACTATTATGTTTTTTGCTCTGAAAACTGTTCTGGAGTAAGACAGCACATCCAAATTATCAATGTTTCTGTCTAGTCGAGAGGACACCTTCTGCCTCTGGGCATCCTGGTACTGTCTGTTAAACTACTGGTCACTGCATTCTTCATGTCAGTTCTGATGTCTGTTAGGGATTTTTTTCACTATGTTTTATCTTGTTTTTATAACTGCTAAGTCTCAACTGGAAGAAACTATGTGCCAACTAAACCTGCACTTCTTAGCAGACTGTTGACTGTATGCATACTTCAGGGACTTTCTTTCACAAAGTCGAGTGTATGCTGACCAGTTTCAGCCTGGACTTTGGCTGTGACTCACAAAACCCTCCCTTTTCTTTCTTGTCTCTATTACACACTGAACACACACTGCCCCTCTCTGCTGCCTGTCAGTCTTGGATTCAAGCTTCTGTTTTCAACTAATTATCTCCAATATACTAAATGACCAATGAGCAAGAAGCCACTGAGAATGGGGAGAAAGCTACTGCAATGAGGAAGAAGAAATCCACCTTCTCTTCATGCAGGCTTTATAGCTTAGAAAATAGTTGACCTGAAGACCAGGTGACTTTGACTATGCACAGAGAGATATGGACATCTATGCAGACTTTGCATGACACACTATTTTCCATTTCATTAGACCTGCTAGATTTTAGTTAACTTATTTTTTATTCCTAATGGATGCACCTTAGGCTGGCCAAGTTGGGAAATCTATGAACCATCTTAAGGAGGAAAAATAGGTCCACACCTTTTAATTTTACCGAAGTACATTGGATTGAGACATCATTTTTGGAAGAACAGAATGGAAACCCTGCAAATGTCTGGCAGAAGAATAGGCACTGTTCTTTGTAACAAGAAGAGCTGGCACAAAACCCTCCTCCTGGGACAGATCATTCGTTACCTCACTGACATGATGGCTGAAGAAACACCTCTTAGGAGTGTAGGTTGTGCGCAGATTTGGCAGGAAGTAACGGAGCATTTGTGTCTAGCCAATTCTGGTTGAAGTTCATCCTGTACTAGCATGGACTATGATTTACCACCACCATCTTGTGTAGCTGTGTGAAATTAAATGGTGGCTCTCCAGCAGTATGTGCTTGCAAAGGCAAGTAATTGCTGTAAAAGACAAGAGTTGACTCCGGTTATGGCCAAAAAATTTAGTAAGCTTTACTTGCACCTAGGAAATCACCTCATATGCAGAACATGAGTCCTTGACAATGCTCCCGTTTTATATGGGGGAAGAGCATATTGATGTGAATCCCAACCTGGCAAAGTTTTTAATGGCAGACTAACAAATACTCCATTATTTTGTTCTATAGATGCAAAAAAATCCCTGCTATTCAATGTTATGACTCAAATCTTTGGAAATAATTATAAATCCAGCCCTGCTGCTGGTTTAATCCTGAGTAGTGCACATTTACCTGAGTTTTCCCTGAGCTGAGGTCATGTCTCCCAGTACTTCCATCCTCACTTCACTGCATCCTCTTTCATCTTTCCTCTAATAATATTCCAGCATTCAGAAGTGACACATAATATATGAAGCACAGCTGTTACCTCCATGGTACAAATGTGCAAATTGCTGGGTAAACAATGGTCCGCATCGAATTTAGCACTTTCTGTGTGTCCCTATGGCTCTAAGACAACCAAGCATTAAGTTGATTATTAGCCCCTGTACAGAGGATCAGGAACCACAAGGTTTACATCAAACAAGGGTGGCTGTCCTGGGTTCAGCAGTAGCAGTCATTTTTCTCCTTCTTGGTAGCTGGTGCAGTGCTGTGTTTTGACTTTCGGCCTGGGAACAGAGCTGATAACAAGGATGTTTTGGTTTGGCCAAGGACTTTGTGAGCCTCATGCTCTGCCAGGGAGGAGGGGAAGCCGGGAGGAAGCAGAGACAGGACACCTGACCCAAACTGACCAAAGAGGTATTCCATACCACAGCACGTCATGCCCAGGATGTAACTGGGAGTTACCCGGAAGGGCTGGGAGACTGCAGGGTTGGAGGAGGCATCGGTCAGAGCTTGGTCAGTCTGAGGGGGGCAAGTTATCGGTTGGCTGGTGCTGAGGTGTTGTACTCTCTTCCCTTGTTATTTCCTTTATCATTATTATCACTGGTGGTAGCAGTAGTGATTTGTGTTATACCTTAGTTACTAAACTGTTCTTATCTCAACCCATGGGAGTTGCATTCTTTTCGATTCTCCTCTCTGTCCCTCCGGGAGCAGGGGGAGGGCAAGAAAGGGGGGGAAGTGAGTGAACGAATTACCTGACTGGGTTTAAACCACGACAGTGGCTCGGAAAAATAACATTGCCCTTTCTGTCCCTTACTTACAAGCACCCATCATCTCTTCTTTCCTTCTCTTTAAGTGCACCTGGAGAGTTTTATGGCCACAACAGCTTCCCCAGGGGATACAGCCATTGCACAACTCCAATTCCCACACCATTCCTTAAGGATGTCTTTTACTTCTCAGCATACTGCTCACTGACACCTGCCCAAGATTTTGCTCCCTCAACACGGCTGATGGAGTTAAAGTTACCTGCTCATGAAGTTAAACTAACCGGCCAGGAAATCTACAGTTTCTGTTTTTAACAGCAAATAACAAATACATGAATTCTGATCTAGTTAGCTCCTTCAGCTGGAATTGATCTACTGTCCCAGTTCTCCCTGGGCTCCTTTATCACAATGAAGGCAGTTACAACATATATTAGGGTTTTAGTTTCATTACACTAATATTTTGGTTCCTCTGCCTTTCTGATTTTAATTCCTACAAGTTGTTTCTACAAACAATCAACTACTTTGATGCTTCCCATTTTCTGATTCATTCTTTTTTGAAATTAGGTTCATGAAGAGTTTCCAGGCAGCTACATTGGCTTTGTTCTTTTCTATTGATTATTCCAGCCCTATTAGCACATTCCAATTGCTTTAACATACACTAGAGTTATTTTTAGAGACTTCCATTTGCATAGTCACCCTTTACCACTAATAACCCTAAAGCCATGAATGGACATGTCTGCACAGCCTCCCTCAGATTCATTCTGTTCTGTGCTGTTGGCTTTATCAAGAGGTTTAGATCTGAGCCAAGTCCATAAATAACTTGCTGTGTATTGATGCTGTGATTACAAACATTGGCATTCTGTCACCATACAAATATAAGGAGGTAAGAGTGATCAACCTGGGTTACAAAAAGATCCATCTAGGTCAGTACCCTATCTTCAACAGTGGCCAGGAGCAGAGAGTTAGTAAATGGGTAGAGGAAGAGGCAAGCACATACAGTACCTCTCCTAGGTACTCTCTTAGCCTCCATTTATTTGCAGCTTGGGAACTTCTTCAGCCAGAAGTCTACTTACTCAGCACTCTCAAAGGATTTTAGTTCCATGGACTTGTCCAGTCTTCTCCTCCTCCCTATGCTTCATCTTACATACAACACATGTACAATTAATGAGTAGTGCCACATGGTAAGCAAGATCAATAAACAGTCAAAATGACACTCAAATACTGAGTAGAATCCCATTTCTAAGTGTCATACTTACAAACAGAACGGGATTAGTTTCTTTCAAAAAATATATACAGGGCAAACATTTGAACTAATCAGAACTACTGATTACTGCCTAGGTATCACAAAATATATCAGCACCATCAATGTGCTTTGCTTCCAAATGCCAGGTTGTAGTTTAAAAAGGTTGGAGTTACAACAGCACAACGCATGGACAAAAGCACAGGACAATGAATTAAAATTCACTGTCAATATGTTTTAGAAGCAGCTAGGGAACTTTCAACTTACACTTTAATACTGCTTACTTACAAGTGGTATGCAGATCATTAAAGCATGTTTTACACATTAAGGAATTGAAAACTAATTGTTAATGGGAACATTTTACCAAATATTATTATGGTGAGGCAAAATGAACAGACTACTTACATGGTTCAGCAGAAAATAATCCCAATTTATACATAAAATTGACCTCCTCTGTTTTCATTTCAATGTTTGGATCATATTAGATAGCATCAGATCTTCCTTTTACTGTGTCTCTCCGAAGAGCAAGACCATACAGAAGCTAGTTATTGATCTGGCTGATAAATCTACACAATAACCACCACATAAACAGATAACTTTGGTTCATGACACTGTTAAAACCACACGTGTTCTTTTGCAGTTTTCTAGTAGGCACAGCCTAAAACATTAGTACTATTTTGCCGTTAAGTACTATAAGAGACTGGGTAAAGATAAAGCAAAACTCATCCTTCTCTAGAGCCTAGTCCAGAGCTCTTTTAAGAGAATCCATTCCCATTTCTCTTTTATAGCTGAAACTTCCCAGGAGGCCCAAATGCTCTTGGAGAGTAACAGATAGAAGTAGGTCAACCCAAGCTTTTCCTGGTTCCTGGTTTAACAGTCCAGCATGCAAATCAAGTCTGAAGAAGAAATGCACAAGAAGTGAGCACAAGACCAACCACGGCACAAAATGATACCAAGCTCATAGTCTTTCTCAGGTGAGAACACCTGCAGTATCTCTGTTCTCCATGATCACACATGGAGTTTTTAATTCATTTATTTATTTATGTATTTTATGTATAGGTCCTTGTTAAAGAGCAATGAATCCTGAATAATATAAGTGAGAACAGAAACAGGCAAGTTATTGTCAAGGTTGTGATAATCCTGAAATATTTTATTCAGCTGCACTTAAACAAATCATTGCAGACAAATACAGTTAGGCTCCAGAATCCTGCAAGTATTTAGAGAGGTTGACACTGAGTCTTCTTAAAAATCATATACAAAATATCAAATTTTACCATTTCATTAGCTACAAAACACCACATCAAAATTCCAGATCATATATACAATAAATCTTTTGAGATTGGATCACTGATATTTACAGATGAAGACATTTTATACATAGAACTTGGTCTTTGCACTTAATTAAAACAGCTTTGACACTTAAAGCCTTTTTACACTGTACTGCAAAGATGGTTTAGTCTTATCCATTTTCACTGAGGTACATGTAAATGCTGCTCTTTTTCATTCTGCAAACTAGAAAGGAACTTTAAATAAAGCAATCAAGTCCTGTAAATTTCCATTTAAATAAAACCCCTACAATGCAAATCCACCATAAAAGCAAGGTGTTAAAAATATATCAGAATTGTTCAAAGTGTCAGAACAGATATTTTGGTATACGTGATTTTTGTTCAGCTGCCATCAGCTTTGTCTTGAAAGATGGAAATATTTTCTGTCACCAGTCTGTACTCATCAGATTCAGGGTCTAAATTATCCAAGTAGAATGGAGATGAGTTTTGCCACCACATGTACATTGAGACTGTTTCCCAGAAGACGGTAGCATTGCTTTACTGTCACTTTGTCAGGAAAGCCTACAACAAAAACAGAGTGCAACACCATTAGTCTGGGTTTGCTCCTAGCTTTTAGTCTACTCCTTTGTTCAGGGAGCAGATCTTAATGCAGTGATCACAGACTGCAGCAGGGCTCACCCCCTCCCCCGCCACTACCATTCACGAAGTTACAAAATCAAATCCCAACCAGCTCATGGGATTTGAGGGAATTACAGTTCTATGATGTGGATCAGTTCTTCCATTAGCAGCACTGCTAGCTCTCAGGTTTAACAAGAAGCCTCAGAACATTGCTCTATTGTGTAACTAATGCTGAGCTCCTCTTCGTATAGTACAAAACATCCAGCAGTTGCAGGGAGGGGCAGCAGCACCTCAAACACAGCCCAACACCCATAGAAGACTGTGGCCGTGGCAGAAAGAAAATGTGATGATTCTGCAGATGAACTAAACTGCATTTTTCAATGAGCTTTATATTGTACTTCCCTTCTGAGTCCCTCTAACCAACCGAGGCAAACAAATCCAATGAGTCTCACAGTGCAATGTACCAGTAGAAGCTACAAGCAAGGCTTATCCAGTGACTGGTGAAGCAGCTGAACAATTTTCCATGTAATTCAATGCTAACCCTGACAAATGCACTCAGAAATACAGACAGCATCAGAAAAGTCCTTCACATGGTAAGTGCATGGGCTGGCAAAAAGAAGGGAAGCCCAGAAAATAATTAAAATGGTCCGACTACTGTGAAAGGAAGGGCTCTGCTGTGTATTGAGCACACGGTCAAAGGTGAACAAACTTCCAAGTATGAAGAAGCTGTTCATCTGTAATTGTCATTGCTTGCACTCTTGGCTTACTCCAGCTGTGAGTTAAAGTGCCTTTAGCTTCAACCTGAGTGAAAGATGAACAGCAGTGGGGATTCAACTGCTAGGGTCATTTACCAAGCTGTTGAAACTTGATCACATTCAATTATTCGATCATTTCCCAAGAAGAAACACTTAAATCTGACTCCAGATAATCACCACCCAGTTTAGCTTTGATGCATAAGCACACTGTGCGCAAGTAGTGATACGTGTGTCCTGAAATCTGCACAGCACTTCAGAAAAAGTCCTCTTCCAGGGATCGCTCAGGAGAGAACATGGTTGGACAGTTGCTGAGCCAGGGGTGGAAAGTTGAGGAGGAGGTGTCTGGGAGGCGTTGTTCCATCCTTCTGTGCCAGTTATTAATGCCTCAAACATGGACTACTTCGATAAACACATCTTCCGCCAGCTCCATCCACTCTGCCCCGCTTCCTGGCACCCACATTTGGCCAACCGTTCCTGCTTTGGAACAATCACTTGCACTCCCACACACACACTTCCTTAGACGAAGTTTTTCATGTTACATCACTGAATAAGGTAAAGAATCTACACATTCTAAAAGAGTACATCAAAATACGTATGTATTTATGCATACACACGTGACTTACTTATAGCCCAAGAAGCTTACCAGAACCCTGAAAATTTCAGTTTCTCCTTCTGCCTCTTGGAAACTGAAAGCCTAAACTGATTTTCAGAGCTCCCATTTCCTTCTCCTCAAGGCTCCTCCATCTGCCTGCACACACTGTCTCACACCTTCTATCTTCTTGGCTCAAGAGTAGCCTGTATCAGAAGGTCAGATTTAACAACTCACACTACACTGGCACTTCCTGCACAGCTCTCACTGTATCATTTAAGTTACGCATGTTACTTGATGATGTAGTGGTCTTTGCAATGCACACTACCACACTGGGCTGGTTTTCCATGGGGCTGCCATTTGTTTCCTAATAGCTTACACACATCACAAATGGGAAAAATGGAAAAGGCATCCTGACATCCCCCCTCATGAAAGCAGGTCCCAGGTGCAAGAATGCTCTGATCACTTTTAATGGTATTGCTATGGGACCTACAGCAGCAACTAAGACAAATGACTGCAGTATTTCATTGACCTGCAGTGCAATTACTATTTACACATTTAGATGTTAAAAGCACAAATAAATCTGTTAAGAGCAGACAATAATTTTAACTCTGTATCTCACATACTGGAAAAGACCATCAGTTTGTTAAAATACAGAACCATTTAGAGACAATCATGTTCCTTCTGAGAATACTTTAGCTGCATCTAGAAACAGTATCTGTTACAAAGCTTCCTGATGTTCCCTTCATTTTCCACTTATAGTTTTCTCATTCTTAGCTCTTAGATCAACAATATACTTGCAGTGGGTACACCTCCAAGATTTCTGTTGTTGAAAATTTCAGCCTAAATGTTGCTGTCACTACAGAACATGGAGACATAAATTACAGCATATTTCTCTCTGAAAATACCACACTTCACAATAATGACTTGAAATTTAACATGGAAGAAATGCTGTCAGGGAAACATCCTTTGTGCAGCCATAAATCTAGCAACTCTCCAAAAGCCCACCCCATAGTTTGCAAACCCTCAGAAGATTACAGTACCTGAGATTATAGTACATAAATCCACCAAAGATTTCAATCAGCCTAAAGCTGAGTAACATCTTGGGGTTTTTAAGCACAAAGTAGGAAATGTCTTAGATTAAGCACAAAGGAAAAAAAGTCAGACTTGTGAGTCAGTGCACTGGGAAAAGCTTGGTCTGCCTCTGAATCAGGAGCATATGTGAGTGGAAACCACTAGATGGGAAAAGCTTGTTTTATGTGTTCTGAAAGCTGGAGAAGTAGTATAGAGAGGCGGAGAACAGCCAGAACTGTAAAGAAGGTCCTATGATTCAGGCAGAAGGGTACTACCCTCAGAGGTGGAATCTAACCCCATCCTTCCCTCCTCAGTTCCTGGGTCACAAAAGACAAATTTGCTAAATCAGCACTTCATAGACGGATGCTCTGGACGCTCTTCAAATTCAGGAGCATGACTTGTCTTTAGAGTTCAGCTCTGGTTTGCAAATATATTGAACCTCACAGCTGTCCTTAAAGATAAGCCCTGAACAGAGAAAGCACGGAATCATTCTAAGCACTCTGAAATAGTAAAGGTCAGGTTTCACAAACTCATCACCCTAAATTAATGGAGTCTTCCAAACATAAATTTCTCCAGTGTCTCGGTCCCCCCCTCTGTAAAATACAAGCAATATGAACTCTACCACACCTCTAAGTGATGTTGCAAAGACTGATCTAACATTTGGAAAACACAAGCTGCATTAAAATAAATAAAATAAGCAACTTTGTGCTCAAAAGAGATCTTGAACAGCATGATTGTCAGTGCCATGGACAGTGGGATTGAGTGTGCCCTCAGCAAGTTTGCCGATGACACCAAGCTGTGTGGTTCAGTCGATACGCTGGAGGGAAGGAATGCCATCCAGAGGGACCTTGACACGTTTGTGAGGTGGGCTGATGCCAGCATTCTGAAGTCTAACCATGCCAAGTGCAAGGTCCTACACCTGGGTCAGAGCAATCCCAGGCACAGCTACAGGTTGGGCAGAGAAGGGATTCAGAGCAGCCCTGCGGAGAAGGACTTGGGGGTGTTGGTTGATGAGAAAATGAACATGAGCCGGCTTCAGTGTGCGCTCGCAGCCCAGAAAGCCAACCGTATCCTGGGCTGCATCTAAAGGAGCGTGACCAGCAGTTCGAAGGAGGTGATCCTGATCCTGCCCCTCTACTCTGCTCTCGTGAGACCTCACTTGGAGTGCTGTGTGGAGTTCTGGTGTCCTCAACACAAAAAGGACATGGAGCTGTTGGACCAAGTCCAGAGGAGGGCCACGAGGATGACCAGGGGACTGGAGCACCTCCTCTGAAGACAGGCTGAGAAAGCTGGGGCTGTTCAGCCTGGAGAAGGCTGCATGGAGACCTCCCAGCAGCCTTCCAGTATCTGAAGGGGGCTTATAAGGATGCTGGGGAGGGACTCTTCATTAGGGACTGTAGTGATAGGACAAGGGGAAACGGGTTCAAACTTTAGATTGGATATAAGGAGGAAGTTCTTTCCTATAAGGGTGGTGAAGCACTGGAATGGGTTGTTCAGGGAAGTTGTGAATGCTCCATCCCTGGCGGTGTTCAAGGCCAGGTTTGACAGAGCCTTGGGTGACATGGTTTAGTGTGAGGTGTTCCTGCCCATGGCACAGGGGCTGGAACTAGATGATCTTAAGGTCCTTTTCAACCCCAACTATTCTATGATTCTATGATAAACCTATACAAGCCCAATCCAGCCCTGTTTAGCTCATTTCTTTTCCTCAGCCTAAATCAACATAGAACAGAGCTGTGCTAAAAAAAAACAAACAAACAACAAAACAAAAAAACAGGCTGTCTGCAAAAAGAACAGATCTATTAAAGAAGAGAGTCAATGAAAAAATCCTTTATGTTGGCATATAACTCAACACTGCACAGTCCTGCAAATATTCTGAAACAAATAAGCTTAGTGCTGGTAATTCTAATTGCAACGTTGCTAACATTCTTTGAATGTAGCAATTTTGAATATAAATGTAAGGAATGAATGAGAAGACAAGCTAAAACTGCAAAAGAAAGAAATGTGTAAGGACTATTAGCACTCCTCAAAGCCCTAGGTCATCACGGAAGTCAAAGAAAAGCATAACAAACTACTCAAGGTCAGTGGTGTCTTATTCTATGGATGCTTGTTTTGCTGAGAGACAATCGCACTGATGGGATGGCAGCAGGCCAAGGTCCGCAGCAGCTAGTAACAGCTACACTTTCTTGCTTGCTTTTCTTTACAGTTCTGGTGAATTTATTTCAGGCTTAATTCTGGTTGACCTGCGTCCAATGAGTGGGTACTGCTGAGTCTCGTTCTTTGACTCCTTCGTCTTCACAATACCAGTTAGACAATGAAGTGACCAAGGGCTACGACTGCCTTTTCTAGAAAATAGAGATGACTTAAAAGATCATTAACTGAACAGTTTGGCTATTCTTGAACAAAGAAGTATCTGTATCTTCTGAATTTCCCTTTCTGTCAGCAGCTGCAAATGTGCGGAAGGGAGAAAGCAAGCAGCTCAAACACTGAGAACCACTAATAGAATTGCTAAAACTGGCAGAATATGTTGATTTACCAGTTGTCAGTAATGCTGGCTGCTGAGTAAATAGTTTGAACTTTAAACAAAGGTATTCCTTCATGCCGTTCAGTAATAGAGCATTTCTCATGCCAAAACTTTTTTCTTAGTTTATGAAGATAAACCTAACCACAGAATTTGCCTCTTATAAAATATAAAAACCTACTGCAAATTCAGAGAAATTCAGGGTAGGCTAAATAACAAGAATCATAAGAACTGAACAGTCGGGGCAGGGAGGCACGGCATGGGGGAGGGAAGCAAAATGTAAGCATAGGTTACTCCGCAGTAAAAAAAGTGCATTGGCATTTCTAAAGAATGATGTAGAAATAAGTACTTTGCAGCACGTACCAAATTCTGAAGGGAATCCATGAAGATTTGCTATTTCTCTTGGGGTGAAGTATCTAAGTTTTAGTGTTGACAATTTCATAAGTTTCTCTTCTTCTGGTAACTCCTCAATATGTTCAAATGCTGACTCAAGCTATGAAGAATATCCAAAACAACAGATATCACCAATGCAGGCCAAATATGTAAAATTTAAGTCACATCTTAACAGAGTATTTCTTTAACTATCACAGTTTGACCAAAAACAAAAAACATGTTTTGCTTGAAAGTACTACGGGTGGTGTATTTTCGCAGCCAACATCTCATCTTACGGACTTGCAAGAAATAAATCAATGTTGCCATGAGGGCATTCATCATTTCTTCCTCCAGTTGCATGCTACACCAATGCTTCATGAGGCAATAAAAGGACTAGAAACATTTGTTAATGACAGGATAGTGACTTAACATACCTCAATAGGACACCATCTACACAAATTGAGATGTATGGATGCAGCTGTTTTAATACATTCACTTTAAGATTATTCTGAATTCCAGAGCTGCATTCTTCTTAAGCTTAGACATGCCATATATGAGTAAAAAGCACAGAAGTGCTAAGCTTACTTTGTGGTGAACTTGGTATCAACAGTAGAACTTTTCAAAATACTGTGTGTTCCCAGATAAATAATACATTTGAAATTCAAACGTGTTGACTATTCAAACAATTTGACTATTTACTGGATCATACGTGCACAGAAAATGGCCCTGGATTCATGATACTGTACTGTAGTTTATCCATAGAATTAGCCATTTTTAATACCTTCACATACCCTGTGAAACCTCTGTATGATACCACAGATAATAAAATAATAGGAGCTCATTCTCCATACAGAAAGGTGCAAACATAATTTTTATCTAAATAAACTGCTGTTTAAGGACACAAAGTAAATCAATTGGAAACTCAGATGCCACAAAGTGCAGTTTAAAAAGCTTTTTTGTTATAATATTAAGAATAAGAAAGCAGAGGGCTGAAAAAAACCCAAGCTTTAAAATAAGTCTCAAGTTTTAAAAAAAGAACTAGATGATCTTCAATGTCTTTTCAAATCCAAACCATTCTATGATTCTGTGAGAGTATACACATTCTTACCTGTACATCTAATGCTGTCTGCAGAACTGAGCCTGTCCCTTCTACATAGTGCCCATACCTTAAAAACAACAAGAACAAATGAGTATTTTCATCAGACCTCATAGTTCTGACAACTACAAAGATGCAGGGAGGTTGCTAAGGTTGTTTTGCTCTGATTAATAAAAAGCCTCCTGGATAGATAATGCAAAAGGCCTTGTTATTAACAATGCTATCCCATGGAGTGCAGTAGTCTCTGACCATGCTCTCTTGGAGATCAGCCTGTAATCAATGCACAAGAGTTTATTTACATTAATGCCTTATATAAGGCAACCAGGCAACTATACAAGGCCAAGGAATTCAAATGTAGTATCACCAGAAAGGGTGAGCTACATTGCACAAACCAATTTTACGCTAAGGCAAAATGCATTAAAGGTCCTAGAGGCTCAAACTGGCTCTCCATATTTGAAGGAGGACCACTAGGTGTGAGCCTCCAGCTTTTATATCACTCCATTAGGAGTGAAAGGGTTCACTTGGGTTTAACATTTGGTTGTATGTGGATTTTCCACAGAGGGATGGGAGATGGCCAGGCATTTATGCAGAGCAGAAGAAAGAGACAAAAGAAAAAAAACCTAAATCCAATTGAACAGTAAGCAAACTTGCATTCTAAAACCATATGATAGCTTTTTGGATGCTTTGTGGTCAATTGCATAACAACATGTTTACCCTTCAATCTCCTCCAGGCTATCATTTAAATATAATTATGGGATTTCAGAAACATGCTCTGCTGGTCTAACTACGATAGTGTTTGAATGTTCTGAACAGAAAAAGACTGAGTCAAGCCAACTGATGACTTCTGCACTGTGGAAGAACTTCAGGAGATCCCCTGCATTAGAGGGGTGTGGTCTACATCAATCATTTGAAGACACTCTTCTTGAGTTTCATCTGTGCATCTGTAAAGTATAAAGGTCTCTTCCTCCCACTTGGGGCCCATTCTAAAGCAAGGCCGCAGAACAATTTTTGTTTCAAGCCTTTCTAATTCCATGATGAATAAAGGAATACTCTCCCTTCCAGCACAGACACAATGACCCAGCATGGCTCAATCATGAGAATTTCTTCTTTAGCTGGAAAAGCCTATGAACAGTTCTGCCAATACCACTGAGAGCAACATTCGTTTTAAAATAAAGTGCTTGCAAATCTTCCTTAGGATCAGAACAAAAGGCCCTAAACACTGGTGCAGATTAAAACCATATGGAATAAAACCACCTTCAATTGGTTAGTTGCATTCTGAAAATTCCCTGTAACACACACAGCACTGAGGAATTCTGATCATCATCATCTTACCATATTTCAGATTAATATATCTGAGCCAAAATAAATAAATAAGGATAAATTTCAAAGTAGTATTTTAGGGTTTTATTGGGGGACAAGAATCTTTTAATAGGATCTATGTTATAAAAAATACTCCAGTCTAAATAATTTGCACTAAAGAACCCCCACCCCCCCACCCCGAAATTCCCCCACACCCCCCCTGAAAAAAAAAAAATCTAGTTGGTGTAAAAGTGGTTTGGGAACAGACAAGGGGTGGGGGTGGTGGGATTTTTAACACAAATGTGGGCAGATGGCCAATGTTAGCTCTATTGTTATTAATTATTATTGTAGCTGCTGACTACAGAAATATTAACATTCCTACCTTACACTCAGAACGTGATTAAAGATGGGAATTTTTGCCACAGTAAAACCCAATGCATTGATTTTCTGACATTTCATTACAATTATAATGACAGAAGCTGCCTTAAGAAATTACAATCTTCAATTTTCATCTGCCTCAAGAGCTTTTTTCACCCCCCAATTTTTGCAAGCTTTCAAAAAAAGCTTTTAATTTCATACACATGATATATTATTTCTGGGTGTACTATGTCTTTTATTATGCCTAACAAAAAGGTAATTTTCACAACACTAGAGTGTTTCTCTAATACTACAATATTTTAGAAGGTATTGCTTCTTTTGACAATAGTGTCAAGCACTTGAAAGTCCAGAATGATCGCATCTAAAGAAGTAGTTCTCATTTGCTCTGTCCTTTTAAAATGGACAATCTCCTCTCTCAACTTCAGACAGTACAAACATACTCCTAAAAGAAACCACCATGTCTGTAGTCTTAAGGAACTGAACAATCATTTTCCAATTTCCTAGAAGTCCAAGGTTGGAAGGGAATACAGATTCATCTGCTCAATCCCTCATGCATCACAAGCTATTACATTTTGCCCTATACTCCACCAAAGCCTTTAGAAGACTGGTAGGACAAAGGCAGAAAGACAAAAAGCACTGATGAAAAATTGGTGAATTAGCAAGGACTGGAAAAGGCATACCCTGATTACTCTCATCACATCAACCTTGATGGAAATATCTGAAAACCAATCAGAGAAAAATTTTTCTCCCATTCTCAAAGCTGATGATCAGTATCTTAGAGGAAAGACACAAGGCAGGCATTTCAGCAGAGCTATTCTCTGTAGTACGTGGAGTGCTGTTCCGCTCCATTCACGGTCCTCTTTCCTAAATCTCATACTTTGGAAAAACATAAAACCAGAACTCCTAGAACACATACAGCAGAAACTCACTCTTGGCCTCAGAAAGTGATCTGGATGAAGTCTGAGTTGTAATTATAATCCTTCTGTTAATGCAAAGCTATAAATGGTATGATGTAAAAAGGGGGAAAAGCCTCTTAAAAAAGGGGAACAAAGGCAGTAAATCAGATTTCTACATTTTGAGCCAAGAACTACCACAGCTATCTGGCCTGGCTCCTTTCACATCAGCAGAAGTGCAACACTCACGTTCCACATCAGACTTCCCACCGCTATATAAGAAAACTCCGTATTAGCTACTCAGGAGCCTCCTTCAATGTGATTTTGATAAACATGACCACAAACTACCATGGCGTATTCTAGTGAAACCACAAGTGGCCAATTTATTTTTGATGACACTCAAGGCATACAATAGATACAGAAGAGATCATTCTGGATTAAGGTTTTTATTTGACTATTCTAGTTAAGAAATAGATCCCATGAGATGCTGACTTCCCCCCAGCTCAAAAGATTGAGGGCAGAAAAGGCTTGTATCAATGGGAGCTGGGGGGGAGGGCTTTCCTGTTACACATATTTTGAACATTTGACATTCTCTTCTCAGCTCTTTTAAAAGTTAAAAATCAAAAAAATCTGCAGGAGCTCTATCTAATTTCTATGAATTAAAAATAAAAGTTGTCATCAGCTCTAAGTGATCAACTATGTCATTTTGTTGAAACATTCTGAGAAGTCAAAACAAAAACCCAATCTAATTTGAAAACAGCTGATCCTAACATTTCCCCAAAAGTTCCAGGCCCCAACTGGCATTTTCCAATGCAAATGCATCCAGTGGAAAAGCTCCTATCAGCTGACTGTGAGATTTCAGAACTCACCAACCTCAAGCTGTCAAACTTTAAACTGCAAGGTACAAATCAGATAACTACTAGACAGAGAAGCACTGATGTTCTGCCCCATCAAATATGATTTGTAATGCAGCAGCCTAACTGGTTTTAGGACTTATGAGCAATCCACAGCTATTCTGACCTACACAGCTGAAAAATCCAAGAAATCAATAAAATATACAGAGGAGAGTTTTAATGAGGAATGGATCTGTCATGCATGACACTGTAACTTCAATGAGCAATATAAAGAAATTCATTAATGAATCACTACTATACCACTCGACTGGAACCATATTTCCGCAGGGGTAATTAAGCTTTTGTGAAGGTCAACAACGAATGGCACTGTCTTCTGTGAATGCCTTTCTGGAGTGGGCACATGATGTCCTGCCAGACAGATTCTCATGCTAGTATTCCACCAGACCAGTGAGCACACTGTATAAGAGGATTTATTTTTCAGAGGCCTGGCTGGTTTTGATGAAATGACTCTCCTTGTTTTTAAGGGAAACAAACAAAAATACATTTAAAATTTCAGGCCATGATTCAGCAAGACATTTTCTTTGCAGCTTACCCTTTTGTAAAGCATGTGGATCTCCGGCAGGTGGGTTTAACAATGTCTAATAAGAAAGCATAGCGCAACAAGGACTTTGGTGGTATGAAATATTGACTCATTTCTTCATTTTCCTCTTCCAAGAAAGCTTTAAGCATTTGAATAGAGGAATCATTGTCCTGATCATGTTTCCTTTCCATTTCTTCTACTGTTTCAAGTTTAAACAGAAAGGCCCCTTTTGGTAAACTCTTCTTGCTGCTGCAACTGGGACCAATGTTTCGATCCAGATTCTTCTCTTCAGAACACAAGGAAGAACAAGCTTCACCCACTTTGTCAGTGACTTTGTCTTTGAGTAAGTCTTCTAGATCCTGATCTGGGAATCTTGTCAATATCTAAGAACAAATTGTGAGGAAAAAAAAATGCATTTGATAAACAACTTGACAGCCAACTCTACAGTGAGTAAGAATTCCTTCACAGATGCTCAGAATAAAGCAAGTAACTGATGTTATTTTCACGAAGATTTAAAAAACACATTAGCACCAAGGTTTGCTGACTTACCAGCAGTGGTGTCAGGAACAACCATAAATAATTCCCTTTGAAAAAAGACTTTTCCAAGGGTGTGAAAAGGATAGCAGAATGAACTGCTTTCTAGCCCACTATCAGCCATTGTCCCACAACTGTTTAAACCCATCTAAGCCACTGGCATGCATTTCAGTACTTAGAAAACTCAGTATCCATGCTGAAAAAATAAGACAGAATTTCACTTTTCAGTTGATATCACTTATCTCTCTCTTCACCATTAACACACACTACTAAACTGAAAATTTAACCCTCAATCTTCATGACACAAAGCAAATTCAAGTAACGCTAACAGACTCACCTGACCAGGAGCTTGAAAAGAGAATAGTTCTTGGTGAAGCTTTGCAATTAGAAAGTATCGCAGCCTAGAATTGGGAATGCCAAGCTGTAAGCAAAATCCACAAGTCCATGTGATAAAGAGACAAAAAGCGGTCTATAGTATCATACAAGTTATCAGCCACTATATATAGTAACAGAACTATTACACACTTAATATATTTTACGATTTCATAGGTATTGGTATTAACTGATAATACCTAAACACTTACAACTTCCAGAACTAGGTTTTGTCAAGGAAACAAGTGGGCAATTATTCTTTGTACCTCATGCTTTTGACTTTGTAAATGAAGAGGAATGTAAACAAACTTTCATGACAGGTAAGAAGAAAAATTACATGCAGCACCACTTCTTGGGACAGGTAATACTTTTTTCTATAAAAAAGTAAAAAGGTGTCTCCTTGCCTTTTTGAACAGCTAACAATGAAACAAATACACCACAACTGGTTTTTAAGCTAACCTCTGTCAGCTTCTCACAGATATATATAGCAGTTCACTGATTCCATTTAGTCTTGCACAATCTGAAATCTCCCTCAACTCTTTTCAGTTGCCAGGGAAACCTGCAAACAAAGCTCCACCTCCCACAAATAACACAGTCACATTTTCTGTGCTGGGAAATCCACAGGCATCAGCACTTCAGAAGCAATGAGGCTCCTGCAGGGAAAACCACCTTCCTGGTCACACTGTAAATTCATGCCTTCTTAAAAAATACCAAATGGTAGCACAGCAATATGGGACTAGACTCTGAACAGTAACAGCAGTATGATTATGCCAGTATAATGCTGAGAAATCAGCAGTCATGCCAAATAGCCTTCTCATCCAAGAGTATTTTCAGTTCTGGGCATGATTCTCTCTTCTAATACAACAGATCATTTTCAAATGTTCTTGGGCTCAGTGAGTTTGAACAGTTAAATGATACTGGAGCAATTTTTGTACTCACACAGGTTGGAGATAAGAGAAATTCTTGATATGTAAATCCACATGTTGCTAGTGTTCGCAAAAGTTCATTTCTGGCGGTGAAAAGAGTCAAAAAGCAATAACTCTCTTTATACAACCTTTAGACCCTTTTTTTACCCTAAATGAAAACATATTAAATGCAACACTTTGGGTACCATGACATTCAGCACTATCAGGGAAAAACTGGGCAGAGAATTTCAGATATGAAGTCATCCACTTCTGAACTTGAGGAGACAATATACGAAGTTCAGTGTTACTGTAGCAAAAAATTACTATTACACATTCACAGGTATCTCACAGGTATTTCAGTGCAAACAGCCCTTCAAAAAATACCCCTTTTAGAAAAGTACTTAGAGTGTGTCCACATGCAAAATAACCAGAGCGCACAACATTCTTTTTATTGTGAATTATAAAACAGGAGATTAAAACCACTACAAATAGCTCACTACTTCCCTCTGTCCACATGTATGTCATCAGCTAAGCCTAACAAAAAGGCCAACTCAAGGGATGACAAAAATTGGCTTTGATAAATGAGGTGCGACTTTATAAACTATACCAAAATCTTCTTAAAAGAGACTTATCTTTTCTATTCCATGAAGATTGCACTAGGCTGGAACTATAGAGCTATGAGCTGTACCTAGCACTGTAAGTCACATTGCACCCCAGGTGTTATTAAGAGAAAGCAAGCATCCTGACAGGGGTGTTTTCTGAACTATAACTTGTTCTAAACACTGGCCAGCAGCAAGGCATAGACTGGAGGTTTGCAGGGTCTACAGCAGCATCCTGCACCTTTAACAGAGTGTCCAGCTGCTCACAGCAGACTGCTGCACACTTAGCCAGTAAAAGAGCTGAACGTGCCTCCCAGCTATCTGCCATATTCGTTAAGGAGCACAATATGCATGGTGGCTGCTGTCTTGGCGCTTTAAGGAATGCTATAGAAAGATCCTACTCCATTCCAGCCAGAAATGAGAAGGAAGACCACGATCCTGACTCCTACTTTGCCCACAAAAGAGGAGAATGCTCCTGCTGTCATCAGGTAACCTTATTGACAACTTTTCCACATTTCAGACAAAGGTTATATACAGTCTTCATACCATATATCTGGACACTTGGATGGTAACCCTGAATCAGTGGTAACCTACCATCAAGAAAGGTACTGAAGAAAGTCCCTATACTGTGCTGTGATTGTAACACAAGACACCATGAGCTCCTGGTCAGGGATAAAACCCCAAAACCTGAATTCTATATTTATTGTTATTTTTCTTTGAAAATTAATATTTACCCTTTCTAAAGCACACAGGATCATCAAATAAAATCAATGGAGTCAAATTGCCACAACATTTTATCTGCTTAGAGAAATAAATAGTTATTTATCAAATTCCTTTCACAATCTAAGATCTTCACTCCTAAACTAAAACAATACAGCCGCTATCTGTCCTATCTCACCTTATGCTGTTAACTTAAATTCTAGGACATAGAAATCACACCTTCCCCTTCTAAAGAAAAATGTCCTTTATTAAAAACTAAAACCTGCATAAATTAGACTTTACCTTGCAGAAGAGGATTCAAATCCTTTAACGTTTTCTAAAAGTATGTATTTTGGAAGCTTCTGAAGTCTACACGGGAAAAAAAAAAACAAAAAAACACAAAGCAGAGTAACAAGATGTAAACTACATTATATTCATTCACAGATTTGTTTAGCTACAAGAAAGATCAAAGTATTTCCACATCATGCTAGCTGCTAAAGTGTAGCATCTTTAAAGTATCTCAACTTTCAAGGTTGCCTAGCTGAAATAATTCCCAACTGAACGAAAAACACGGACTGCCGGTAATTACAAAACCCAACAAAACCCACTTATGTTCAGATGGACTGCTGTACCCTCCAGTACCCCATGCATGTACTTCTGAAAATGCTTACCACTGTTCATTTCGTAAAGTATAATCTTATTACTCAACAGATTGAGTTTGTAATAGGAAAGATAACTGTTTGCGGTGTTTAGCCATGGAACAGAAAACTTTTGTTTTAAAGTGCTTAAACCCAAAACCAATGTCAAAATGTCACATCAGCTTTAGTGACAACACATCAGAACCAGTATTCATCTAACTGCTTTAAAAAAATACAACGTGCTTAGAGCTCAAACTGCAGATATTCTGTTTTCTACACTTAACTTTCTCATTTTGATGGGGGAAGGGAAAGAAGACATCTGAGGTTTAACAAGATCAGTGCAGTGGAAATAGGCTCATTCCAAAACCAGCGTATTAAATCTCTGGAGAAAGGAACATGCCCAAACTGTACCAGTGACCATTCCAACAGTTTAGAAGCACAGATGATATAAGTCTCTGGGAACATTCCTTGACACCGATCAATTCTCTAATAAAGCTAACGTAGACATAGTATGTCTGCCACACACTGGGATCTGAAAACAGCACATAAAAACAGAATACAAATGCCACCAGAAAGTGACTTTGGACTTCCACTGGTACAAATCACAGCAGAATTTGTTTTAGTGTGTTCTTAACTGCCACTAATCACAGACATTCAAACGAATTAAGGATATAAAGTGCTTCACAAGAAATTGGGAAACGTACAAGATACTACATCAAATTTAAAAATACTCAAAATAATGCTGAAAAAAAAAAAAACAAAACAAAAAACAAACCCCCTAAACTGAAAATAAGCAGCAGCAGCCAAATTCCCTGCAGAGGAATGGAGAACATATCCACTGGTATACTTACCCACACATTACTGTCACCTACTTTAAACCTTATTATTAAATTAATGAATCCAGAACATAGCCTCAAATGCAAGAACTCATGCAGGATCAGCAGGTCACAAGACAAGTAATCACTACACAAAGAGTGTTTTAAGTACTTGGCAGGTATTAACACTACAAATGTTCCTGTAAAAGCAGAACTTTTTTAGCATTAGATTTCCTGGGTTATGGCTTGGACACAAAAAACAGACAGTATCCAGACCATCTGGGTCAGACTCTGCTGGCTGGGTGCTCCAAGGATTTCACAGGTCTTTCCAGATCTTGAAACTGTCCTTTCCAGATCTCTAATATTTGTCTTCCCAGGTTATCTGTGAGCCTCATTTCTGTGACATTTCATTAGAAATGGCTGCAATAACCAAGGATGAGAAATCATATAGCTTCCATAAATTAATAACTCATGTTGTACCAATTTAGACTGCAAAGTAGTAATTCCTATATTAAAATTTTCCCCTTTTTGGACTAAAATACTACATACTCAATGTCTGGCAAACATGTCATATCCAAAAATTACACAAACACTATCTTGTTAAAACATATATCTATTGGAACTGAGAAACTCTGCAGAAGCCACCATCTTGAACGTATTACAGACGTTCAAGCAACCTGCCCAAGGGAGATAAGAGACATCACAGGGTCTCGTGAGGCATTGAGATAAAGTGCCACAGCCAAGCCCAGCTCTTTTGCATCATCATGATGGAAAACGTATGTCCTACAGTGTCTAAAGCTTTGGTTTTGAGAAAGAAAAGCTTCTGACCTTTATCCAGCCAAGCCCACAGCAACCAGGAAGCAACATTTCCACATTCATGCACAACAGCAATGTCCCCAGCCTCTTAACTGTGTCTCAGTTTAGCAGAAAGGAATACTGAGGTCAGGATCCCATTAAGGGTCCGGAAGGTAATATTATTCCATACTATTATATTATATACTATATTATTATGAGAAAGATATAAATTATTAACCTATACACTATCTGCTGGTTTTAATTTTTCATTTTGAAAGCTCAGTCTGGAGGACCAACTTACATTCCCTGTTCCAAAAAAGACATCCTTCACAACTTTTAGATGCCCACGTTACCTCCCAATTTTTGTGCCTCTGCCAGAGGCCAGGGAGTAATAGTAATAACCTTTCCTTTTACCTATTTATTGTCTAACTTGCAAGGCTGCAGAATCCATACTGTGTTCTGCTTTGTGTTCTCTGCCAAAGATTTCTTAGGTGATCCCAGCCAAGCCACTCAGCCCTTCTGTGTTGTACATTTGCAGATTACAAGGGCAAAAAGGTAGTCCCATCTGATGGCTGCAAAAAAGTTTCTTCTGGAAGAAGGATGAAGACCATTTTCCCCCAGGGTTAACAGCAGTTTGAACGAAAGGATGTTATTGGTAAGGGTTTCCTTCAGTGCAGAAAGCTCTCAAAAACAAAACAAACAAACAAAAAAACCCAAACCCAAACCCCAAAACCAACCAAAAAACCCCCCAACAAAACAAACCCAACCAAGAAAGCCCCAAACAAAGAGACAGGCAACCAAACCTCCTTTTCTCCTCCTTCAGTTCTGAGAGCAAGATTAACCAATGAGACCCCAGTGTTTATCTAGAGAACAGCTGTCCCAGGATCCAGCAGACAGGGGACTGCAGGAATGGTAAGTGTCTGCTGGACTGTAACTGACAGAAATTCTCAGGCTTATGCTAATTGGTACCCAATGAACATCTCAATCCAGAGGCAGAGATTTCTGCTGGATAAATCTCCCTGAGTAACTGCTTGCTCCACTTCCCCAGGAAAGGTTCTTACAGTGCTTTGTAATTCTTCCCCAAAAGGACTACAAGCATTACAAGGCATAAGTAATACAAATAATTATGGCTATTAGGAACTGTGGTTTAACTGGGAAAAAATGACAGATCAACAGAAAGACAAGGGCACTGTTCAAGCAACGCAGGGCTATTTGAATTCCTCAGTATTACTTTCAAAACAAGGGATTGTACTATAACCAAAAATAGATAATCTGACCTAAGATATCTAAAAGTAGCACCAAAAAGACATAATACAATTGAAGAAAGAAAACAAGGGGACAGAAGATTGTGACATCAATAACATATTTAAACAAATTTTCAAATGCTACCTAGTGAATAGGTGACTAAATATTGAATTAAAGCCTTAACTTGGTATTTCAAATAATTTTCATTTTTCCACAATGCCCATCAGCAAACTACTATACTACGTACTCCTGCCTCTACATAAAGTCAGCGCAAGTTTGATGTTCAAAGGAAAATAACTCACTTTCTTAATTTATGATACAGCCACAGTTTAAACAGAAACACAGTAAAAAGCAAACCAGACAAATGAAAACATATACAGTAACCAATGTGATGATAATGGCAATAGTAAAATGCAAGTATTATATGTTCATGTGAAAACAAACAAGTAATACAACACAATACTAGCTGTACCCTTGTAAAATGTTATAGCAGACTTGTCTCACTGACATATGAAAGACATACTTAGTTACTACAAAGGTCTTAAGAACTGAGGCAGAAGTTAATTCATACCTTGGGAGAATATCAAGGATATAGAGAAAGCTCTTTGTCCGTGGATCGGATATATCACCTTGCAGGCCAATTCTAAGAAAGAATCAAGAAACATCTGTATATTACTCAGAGCAGACTGACACTCGACTTGCCTTTTTCTATAGAATACTGACACATTTTGCTTTCAGTTTCAAAAACAGACTCTGCAAAAGCATCATGTACACACATAGAGGAGCTGCTCGCAGAGGCAGTGTCCAAGGAATGCTCTGAGTAATGAAAGGTCTGTCCCTGGAGTTCCTTAGCTCATAGGGAGGTTAAAATTGAAGTATTTAGTAAGGAAACCCACTCCCAAATCTGCAAAATGTTCAGCATTCTGGTCTTGTCCAGCAAACCCTTTGAACACACTTCGCTCTGAAAGAAGAAAAGAACTCCACTGGGTTCCTGGGAACACCCCACTATTTTACATTGAATATACTAAATGACTTCTATGACTTAAAGCCTCAGTGCTCACTACTTTGCAGGACTGAGCCCCTTGTGAGCAACCTTGTAAACAATTTTGTAACATCAATCTGGACAGCTCCTGTAGGTTATAAAAATTATGACATAATAGAATGATTCCAGGACTGTGTTCCCTAACTTATACCTGCATTAGCTCTTGAAAAAAAGAAAGCCTTGGTAGAAGAGCTTCAGCATGTCTTTAAATTAGACAGACATACATTTTTCTTTTCACAGTATTGTTGTTGTTTTTTTTTTAAAGAAGGAAATTATTCCTATATACATCATAGGTTTGCAAAAATACATTTTTACAGATGAGCACTACTTTGGAGAGATTTCTTCTCAATATCAAAGCACTCAATAAAATGCACTTTCTTACACAAGCAGTTTCATCACCATACACAGACTTTTTCACAAAGATACTTCTTTTCATGAGTACAGTTACTTGAATCTTACCTTCACTGGTCACTGCTGTCAAATGATATGAATTTGAAACCAATCTGACAAATAACCTCTCAGTAAGTTCAGTTCTTAATCAGGAAGATATTTCTCTACATTAGCCACAAAATCATTTTAAAGACATTATTACCCTCCTAGTCTTGGCTAAAATAGGAATATTCCTCAGAATAAACTATTTTTGCGCATGTGCACTTTTCAAAGTATAAATAAAAACAGATTACAAGAATTGTGATCGATAATTAAGATTCACATTTCTGCATTTCTCCCACTTCAGTAAACATCTTGGTGAACAGAGGTGCAACATTTTTGCTTAGCAAGAGAAAGATACCCAGATGAACCACAAATAGTGTCACTCTTGAAAATATTTCTCCTTTAACAGTACATACTGGAGTAACTGCACTTTAGTGCGCTGTAACTACCTTGTAAATGGCTGACACGGAGGACTCATCAAAATCATATCAAAACATAATCTGTCAAATTCTTTCAGTGTTATGCCCTGAATAAGGAAAAAAATAGAAGAATGTTGAGTGCTGTAAACCACATGAAACTCTCAAGTCATCTTTCAGAAGAAACTATTCCTCTTACTCCCATTATATAGTTCATCAGAAAAAAACTACCTCATCTCCCATTTGACCTAATAATACAAATATTTTCTACCTTGGCAAATCATACAATGCAAATATGCATTAATTGCTTTGAAAATGAACCAAAACCACTAAGGGTGTTAGTTAGTATCTATATGCAAACTTGAGGTTTTTATATACCCATTCTTTCAGAAGAGGCGTGTAGTGACTCTTGCAGTAGATCACACTGAACTGACTTCTTATGTCTCCCCATCCCTCCTCCAAATAAAGTATCATTTTTCATATATGAAGCCATTGTACCTCAAAACCAGTATTAATATATTCAAAACAGGTAAAAAAAAAAAGTTACATCCTCTCAAAACACAAAATATCTGAACAGGAAAGAATCTCAAGTGTTAAACATCATCATTTTTATAGGTCCAAATTGTGGGGTTTTAACTATTAGGAGCTCACTACCCATGTATCCTGTAAAGTTTACTCCATTCTAGTTTTTATGCAGTAAAAACCCCTCAAAGGTACTACATGGCTGAAAGCTCTACTCTTAAAAAGTATGTCTGTTCAGAGAAGAAAGGCCTGTGGCATGAATTAATTACACAGTTAGAAGTTTCTCTCGACTAAATTTTAACGAGCACTAGAAGGGCAATATATTAAGGGGCCAAGGACAGAAGGATAATGACCAAATAACTATGAGCTGGACAGAGAAATCACTGCCTTATGTATTTTGAGGTGTATCTATATAGCAAATGTAACATAACTGCCCACAAAGTAGAGAAAAAAAGCTGCCTTTTTTTGTTTTTTTTTTTCAAATAAATCTAAAGATCTTACTGACTGTAATTTGCGCTTATCTACTGTAAGAAGACGTGGTCAAGCATTCTTCTTTCCCCATATAAAACTAAACTGTTGTTCAGAGTGTTACTACTGAGTGCTGAATAAGCATTTAACCTTTAGCCACCTATTTAAGTATTACATAAGCTGGTGTCTTAAATATCTTTGTCATGTTGTAAAATTCAAAGAAGATCAAGAAGCATAAAATAATTTCTAACTAAACCCAGGGAAAAACACCATGCCTAACTCGCTCCTCAACTATTAAAACAGAGTCCAATTTTACCTACAGTCTTCTTCAAATAATTTGGACAAGAGACAGCTCCTAAAACATTTGATCTATTGAGCCTACAAAAAATTTCAAGACTGTCCCATCCAGTATATTTTCTTGTGTTTTACTGAGCTGAACTATAACTACAAAACAAAAGCCATGCCTCCAAGTAATTTTATTAAATTCTTTCAAAATACATGAAAATATTTTCTTTTAATCTAAAAGTATGATTTTTGTCATTCCTGTATTGGTGATAGACATTCCTCTTGATATTCACATACACCTCCTTAATACAGCAGTCAAGACTTTCAGGAAAAGACTGCAGTGTGAGTATCTCTCTAACTCTGACAAAGAACCATGGCACAAGAAATCAAAGTTATTGTAAAACTGATATATTCATAACAACATAAACTAAATATTTATGTTTCTCTTATTACTGATAAGAACAAGGATGAGAACTTACTACGACAAATGCCAGACTAGAGTAAAAAGTACATTCACCACTCACCTCAATCGTCTTTGCCCATAATGGCGTGCTGGGAAAGTTGTACTTGTAAACTTCATTGGCAAGAGTGTTCACATCAACAGCAGCAACAACTTCTGCAGATGCACAGCTTTCTAAAATTAAAAAAAGAACTTTAAAATTGCAGCCCCTTTTTGCAATTCTTGAAAAAATGTGTTTGTTCAGCTGCATTGCAGCTATGCTCAAAAATAAAAGGGAAGTTACATGGCCAAACTCTGCTGTGCTGCCTTTAATGATATGAAAAATACACTGTGTTTCTAATCATACAGCAAATACTTCCTTATGTATCCAAAAACGGGAGCTAACTGCGCCCTTTATAATTTCTAGATACAGCCATACATAAACCCCAAACAGGGTACATCTTTACAACTTTCCCTCCTTCACCCAGTTGGTCTCTGCGGCCATCAAGATCCTCAGCTATAGGAATACAGTCAGCCTGCCAAGCCTCCCTGCCACAGACTGAAGCTCTCCAGCCACTGACAACGTATAGAAAATAAATGTGTTATTTCAGCAGTATTCTACTTCTCACTGTGAAAAAAAATGGCATCAATAAATATGTTTGAAGTATATCTACTCGTGCAATACAACTTTAAGAAGTTGCCTGAAATCAACTGTGCTTATGTTCAAGTAAAATCTCAGGCCTTGAACCCAACTGCTGCCTCCTTTGAGTTCAAGGTAGTCAAAACACCAAACGCCTTGAATGTATCTCTAGGTATCAAAGGAAGTACGTCTGGACACTTAGAGGCATAACTGAAGAGAACACAGTGTAACAAATCTACCGACAGATAAAATCCTGAGAGAAAAATACACTAAAAAGAATGTAAACAAGTAATGGTTAATTTATAGAGTAACAGAACAATAGTTCCTGCAGAAGACAAAGACATAAAAAGAACAGTATTTAATCCACTGCTTTATCATGTGGTTAGCAGTAATAAATAGTGTGACAATACCTTCACTGAGGCTTTTTATCCAGGAAGATCGGCTGCGTTCACTGTTATAGCCACAAGCAGAAAACAGTGACTGTACTTCCTGATATACAACACCAGTTTCAACCACCAGGAAATTTAGATTATGGTCACATTAAAAAGCCACAGATGAAATTCAGGCAATTTATAAATTACATTTGAAAACCAAAAGAAACAAGGCAAATAGCCATATGCCTTTGAGAAGTCTCACAACATGCTCAAGTAACACATTAACAAAGGAACTCATGCGACATCTTATGAATTGCTACTATTCAGCTGATTATTTACAGTTTGAGAGGATGAAAAAACAACTGTGATGTCACTAGTGGATTTAATTTGGAGTGATGTGGTTATCACCCATCTACTACCTTTCAAGTTTTCAAGGCCATCTTATTCAAACCAAGATGAAAGAAATCTGTTGTTGGTAAGATTGTAGCACACATTTTAACAAAGACCAGCCTGGTTCTCCTGAGCTTACTTGATGTAATAGAGGACAAAAAGAATAGGAATTTCACAAGAAAAAGACCTACAGATGACCGGCTACTCAATAGGATCAACATACAAATCATTATTTGCAGTTACTGTCTTGACTTTTTGACCATAAAGTGTAACTGAAGTATTAAACACAGGTATATCCATGAGGACAAGAATGACACCTGAGATTATACAGAACAGGTATATTAACACTGACACCTAGCGTGAAGAGAACATCCCTTAGCAGGCTGACTGTCTCAATTTACAAGCATATTCAAGAACCAGCACCCTTATCTTCCTAAAACAAAGCTGTAGCACCTAATAGGAACAAACTTCAAAACTACTGTTTAAGAGACTGCTTTTCTCATTTATTCTTTCAGTTCCTGACAAGTTGATCCCTACTACATGTTCCAGGCATTCCAAAAATAAAAACAAAGAAACTCAAATTATGCAAAATAACACGTGGTTTAAAAATGACAATTGGAAAGGCAGGCAGTGTACTTTTTCTCGCAACTCAAGATTCTGATGTTCATCCTTTTTACTAACATCAATCCAATCTCTCCCTGCATACGAACAACAAAAGAAAGAAGTACTGGGGATTTGCATCAAGGGATTTCACAGGCCTCAATGCCTGGACTTACTGAAAGCAAGTATGTAGCTAACAGCCATTTATTAAATCCCTTGCAATACAATGCTCAGTCTAAACCACAGATGTTAACCAGCATGTAAAAGGCACGGGAACTTTTCCTGAACTATTCCATCCAACATCCTCTCTTCCCAGTTCAAAGATCTGATAACTTTTTCAAAGCTTTTCACTCAAAAACTGTGGCTCACTTGGGAGTTCCTGTTACAGAACAGACTCCAACAGCTGATTAAGCTTATTTGTGCGGAAATACCCTAGAAACGCATGAAGGAGCTCGAGCAGACAAGCAGATCTCACACATCCAACCTAACAAAGAAAAGCTTGTGTAAATTTCAAACAATGTTAAAACGAAACATTTTAAAAGAACTGCTCCTCCTGAAATGTACATAACTTTGATGTCAAACTGTGATATTTGATTTTGCTAAAGCAATTATCTCTATCACTTGAAAATGACTGTAGGAATGTATCATTAAAAAAAGACTAAAAACCAACAGAATCAAGACTATGTTTAACTATCTCCGCTGACAAAAGGCACAAAAGCAGCTAATAAATATGAAAATGCCCCTGAATTGCTGACTTAGTGAGGTTAAACCAATTCCCCAAAATACACAGCAGAAGAAACAGACACAGCTCTGGAGACTTTTTTTTTTCCTCAGAAAAACTATGTCAATTTTTCAAAACAAAGCCACTTAAGAGAATTAAAACTCTGCACTACATTAACTGTGTTTAATTAAGTTAAACAATATTATGCAGACTAAGGAAAAACTAACACACATTTTTCTAAGTGAAACTAAGTAGCTGCTGGGATACTTGCTTTACAATATTCCTCAACACCACCAAGACCACATTTCTGGATGAGATGTTGTAGCTCAGATGGAAGCTACAGACATGATGGGGAAGTTACTGAGGGAGGTGTTAGGACTTATTTTCAGGCAGACTAAATTGTAGTAACCTCTCCTGGCTGAAAGCAGGTGAACTCAAATTTGTACCTCCTATTAACAAAGTATGATTCTCCACTCGAGGCTTAAAACCACTAGGATTCACACAGAAGAAACTCTTTTACTGTTATTCAAGTTGCCTAAAAAGGCAGCAAACTTTGGGTCCCAATTCTCTATTTCATTGCACACACAATGCTTATGAGCCATTTTAGCTATGTAGCAGTCACTCAAGTGAAAGGGATGATGCTGTAATGATTGTAAGGTGTGGCATTTGAAACAAAGGAAAACAGGATACATCCATTAGCTTTCCGATTTGGAAAAAAACAAACCCTACGGGTCTCATCTTTAGATCCCAAAAATAAAATTTCTCACATTACAGTACCTGTCTTTTTCCACTTCAGAATCAATTCCTTTACTATGTGTTTCTGGCAGACCTTAAAATTAACATAGATCTGTTTATATTCACCATTGTACTTTTGTAATAGAATTGTCAATGTCAACAGAGCACATGAAACACAGTGTTACACCAAGGGCACAGCCTGGCAGATTTCAGCATATTGGAAAATCAGAGCCAGAATCTTTTCTATCAGGTATATGGAAACAGATGGAAAAGGGAAGATTAGTCACATGATTTGTTAGTCCTATTTCCTTTTAAAACAGAGCAAAGATTTTATTTCTGAGTTGTCAGCTCTAAGATGAAATGATTAGGCTGAACTGCCCATGGCTACAGCAAACACAACTATCACTGATAGTTGCTTCCTGCAGGATACTTAATGACTTTTTTCACTGCTCTATTTGTACAGGATTTGCTCATGGTCAGCTATATAAATGACATAAACTTACATGTCAACACAAGCGGCACCATCCTGTATTAAAGGTGTCTGTATTTTAGAGAACAATTACAGCAAAATGAGTTTAGGTGTAAAAACCTGCTCAGAACAGCCATATCTTTGTTTCGCATTGTGCCAAATCCCAAGGCTGCTTGACAGTTTTGTCTCTTTTGCCTCTCCTCCTAAGATAGCTATGCTCTGTGTAATTTCAAACACCAGTTTATTATGCTGTGCAATCCACAGAGATAATGAAATAAAATCAATAAACACAATGACAGAGTACAAGAGACTCAAATTCTTACTCTGTAAAATCAAAACACAACAATTGCAGAGGAAAAATGCCACCAACTTCATCGCTGCAAAATTACAGTATTTTCTAAAAGAGGTCCTTTCATGCACAGAGACATTTTTCAGTGACCTGGCAGATTACAAATGCTTGCGGCAAAGACCTGGAACCCATTTTTCATGGGAACACTGCCTAAATTAATAAGCCAGTTTAAGTTTGTTTTGGTTGGGAATAAGGTAGAGCAGGCTGTTTGTTTCACGGAAAGTTGCTAAGGAAATTAATTTGTAGCCATAGGCTTTCTAAAACTAAACCAATATACTTCATTGCAGAAACTCTGAACTTGATATATAAAGAATACATTCACACATATATAAAGTATTGTATGTTTAGACATATATGATCTAAACTTCAACCTTTATATTCTCAGAAACTTTAGGGCACAGAGTGGGAAGAAGGAAGAAATGCACTCCCATCTGCTTCAATCTTTCAAGAGTGTGAATATGAACAGATCAGCTGACTTCTGATCTTAACCAAGCTCAACTTTCTAAATTATATCTTTTTACATACCTAAAATTCAAAATTCTGCATATCTTGAATTATCTGCAACTCAAATACCAACACAGAGCTAGACAATACCCAAGATTTGTCTTCTTCAATTCTGAACTGAAACCTAAATCAAGAACAGCTTGCTTTTTCCTGTCAAACAGTGCCTGATTCAACTATGTATTAGTAACTTTTATGTACTGTTACTGAAGAAGTACTTAGAGTAAAAGCTTCCATGAATTTATTAAAATTTAATTATTTCCTACTGCAGGCAAGGTCAATCTCTAAAGCCAATTGCATACTACTTGGTGCCAAATGCATTCTACTGTAATGACAGCTGCCAAAACAATGAACATCCCCATTCTGCAAGTGTAAGTACACATGCTGTCCTAAATTAAGTTTAGGAAAGATCACAGCCAAAAAGGGCTTCCAGGTAGAAAATACAGTGCCAGATTTCCTCAAAAACACCCATTTGCCAATAGAAAACACTGCCAATTTCACAGAAAAGTAGAAGGTTGGACTAGATCTGTTAAATACAACTGGCCACAAAACTGGCTATATGACACAGCCAGGAACCAAAACTGAGACAGAACTTGCCAAAGCAGCAGAATGCCTTTTGTAGAACAAGTAGCTTTCCTGGGATGCTTCCACTTAAGTATTCTATGCTCTCGCTTTTCTACATGTTCCTATTTTTCTTGGCTATATAGATTCACTAGAAAGCATACCAGGAAAACAAAGTATTATACATAACCTTCATCTCTCATGTACCTGCTTTATGAAAGCACTGGCAAAATAGAAGGTTTTCTTTCAAGCTTCCTACTTATATGGGGAAAACAAACCGAAAAAAAAAAAGCCTTCTAATATTTCCATACTTAATTTAAATGGAAGATGCGAAACAATCTGCCATTTGCTAAATGATATAAAAGAAACCTTTTTTTTTTTTAGACATTTCCAAACAGCATGGTTTCACATCCACATACAGGCCAAAAACATGTAATAAACCCTATTATTAAACTAGTTACAGAGGAACATTGACATTTTTTCTGTCCTATTTCCACACAAAAGCAAACACTTAAACTCCCATGACTTCACTTTGTCCCTTTAGAAACTGTGTAAGAAAACTGAATCCAGATTTTTATGAGACTTAAAAAGTGAAAACAGCAGAAAGGATCAAAATGCCTGACTAGACTGGCATTACTGAATGCAATACAATTTATCAAAACCAGTTTTGTATGAAGACTTGTCATTAAATGCTTAACTTGGTGCAAACTGCATGGAATCCTTCTTATTCAAATGGCCTAATTATTAGTTTCAACAACACCCAAACCAAGATTTTTATCTAGAAGTGTATGGTTTTGAATTTTTTCCAAGACAAGACAATGCCTATGGGCTGAGTTCTTATATGCTTCCCAGAAAAATAAACACCCAGATTTGAAAAGAAGTTATACTAACTGTAATGTAAATAGCATTGTATCTATCCACTTTGCAAATTTTAATTGGTATTTAACCATTTAGTACTATCTAGGGTCATTTACACAAATAACAACTTGTCTCTTCTTATACACCGTCT